TTCCAAATTTGATTTTTCCAACTTTTTAGTTCTTCGCCGGATCGTCCCGAAATCTCCACCAATGCTTCCCGACATTCCCAAAGCGCGTTCCAACCTCCGGTTTACCTGAAAAAGATATAAAAGTGTGCAAATAAGGTTGTTCTAGAGACTAAAATGAATATGATAAAATGCAAGGAAAAGGAAGAACAATTTTGCTAAATATATGCATAAAATGGGACTAAAAGGTGTGCAAAAAGGTGCACAAATAGCACCTAACAAATCTCCCCAAGCTTAGACCTTTCTTGTCCTCAAGAAAGAACAAGAACCGGACAACAGGACGATTATCTAGATGGCAAAAAGAAAAACTTAGAACGAAAAGGGGATGAAGGATCCTAAAGGTTAAGAATGAATGCATGCAATGCAATGCCATGAAAATATGTTCAAATGCACCTGAGAAACAAAATGAAGCAAAAGAAAAGAAAATTAAGAACAAACACAAAATATGTACTTTTGTAACTAAATAAAGGTACGATCAGACTTTACATCAATAGGGCTTCGATCATTGATACCTTGGCAACCATCATGTTTCCTTCCACATATCACAGACTCTCAATGTGAGGAAGACCCGAAACGGTGTAACCCAATACTCCAACCAAAGTTTTATTTAATCTTTATACCTTACTAAGCTTTATGGGCGAAAATAACATAGTCCAGATTTCATGTCCTTAAGACTAAATGGCCAAGAATCAGAATCGACGCCTCCTTAAGAACCCGTCACGGCGAATCAGCTTTCGCTGAAACAGTGAGCCCACCCGAAGGGGCTCAGCTCCTATGCTTTCTCTTTTTCGAGAGCCACAAGTATCATATCACACAGTTCTTCATTCGCCATATTTGACTTGAGTTGGCTTTTGATTTGATTGAGCTTTGATTTGTACTTCGTTTTGAATTTGGATTCTTCAATCTTCATCTTTGGAATTTCTTTGGAATTTCTTTAGATTTCTTCGTTTTGGTATTTGAAATTCTGATTGGGGTACTGGGTATGACAGTTGTACCCTTCCTTCATTCTCGACTGTGTGGGTCTGATACATAAGCTCTCTGTTACCGCGGGGGTAACGCGTGTCAACAAATAGGTCCGTGTTCTGTGGGTTCAGAGTTGCCGATAAAGATTCTTTTTAAACATTCAAAAGCAAATCATCCTAAAGCTGTTATTACCGCCCAAAAAACGTTTCAATATAAATTTTTTATTATTATCTGAGGGTAGGGTCTCAAATTACGATATTTGGGTCCCCTAGTTATGATAGCTGATTCTATGCTTCCGGTAACAATCCGGTTGCTTCGGTATTTTTCATTTCATGGAGCAATTGTATGTAAAGAGTGTCATCATCTCGTACACTTTTTTTTTTTTAGAATGAAAATTTGAAAATAAGAAAATTTGAAAAATTGAAAATAAGAAAATGCATGTATGAGAATGAGTGAACCTAAAATACAAGTCTGCCCCTCCCCAAGCTTAAAGATAAGCATCGTCCCCGATGCTTGGAGAGGGTGGAACAACCTAAAACGGAGGTGGAGGGGGAGGATAGTAGCTGGGGTTTCGGGTCCAAGCCCAGAAGTCCTCCTCATGTTTGCGTTGACGCTCTTGATCCCGAGCGTACTGGGTGGTGAAGGTGGAAAAATTATGGGTCAGGCTGGTAATATCCTGCTGATAGGTGTCGAGGCGGGTATGGATTGATTGGAATTCGTCCATATATTGTTGATGATAAGGCGGGAGTGCAGCAAAACGGGATGAGCTGCCACCACCGGTGGGAGAAGCATGGTGAGGCTCCTCCTCTCCTTCATCATCATCACCCTCTTCCTCGTTTTCTTCGCTTTGCTCATCGACCTCGGTGGAATAAGAGTGGGGGAAGATGTATGGAATGATTTGCCAATCAGTCATATGAATGGGATTTCGGAAATCAAGAATGCCTTTATTTTCTGGTGTGATGAGGAGCTTGGGATCATGATTTTGACCCACGGTCCAGTGGTGTGTACCATCGCCTGCCGAGCGGAAGAGTCGCATTGACTCAAGGATAGCAGTGGTGAGATAAGGCTCACCCGGCAGTGGCTGGTGGGGACCGAGGTATGGGGCTCGGATGTGGGCGCTCTTGGCGAGCATGCTGACAATACCCCCGCAAACAATCTTTCCTGATCGGGATGCGCTAAGGCGGATGAGCTTGTGGCACAGAAACCGACCATAATGAGGAATGAGGTTATTCTCGGGATGGGTCATTGCATAAAGGATTTTAAGTTCCAGCGCGCTAATGGTGCTTCGCTCCTCTCTAGGGGCGACGAGCGAAGCAATGATTCTGTGAGCTACCTTAATCACAGGATGGATAAGTGATGAGGCTTTAGCAGCGCTAGAGACATATGGATGTAATTGGGTGAGCTGGGTCCACCAAGTCATGTCATAGTATCCTTGGATTGGATCAGTGGGGCCAAATGTGTTTTCCGTTGGGGCCCCCACAATGGCATTGATTTGATCCAAGGAGATCTCATAGTCTTGATTCATTAGACGGAAGTAGAGGATCCCATGATCTAAAAAACTGAGGATAGAAACTCAGCAGTTGGGACTTTATAGCTCAATTCATGGACCCTCAACAAGCCGTGCCACCCTATGTTGCGAAACAGGGTTTTGACTTGATTGTAAACATGCAACTCTTTCAAAGTTGGAACATGCGCGAATTTTTGGATGGCATGACCTCTTTTAAGGAATGACTCAAGTTTGCCCTGTTGAACTGGGCCAAGACATACAACACCAAAATGAGACGGGTCGGCTGGGGGTGTTGGGGACCTAGATGGAGGTGAGGGAGATCTAGATGGAGGTGATGGAGATCTAGGCTTCCGACGGCGGGCGGATGATTTGGTTTGTCTTGGTCTTTTGGAAGATGTAGCTTCCATAGTCAAGTTTGGGACAGATTAAAACTCAACGGGTCAAAATGTCAAAAAGTCAACTGTTGACGGGTCCAGTCAACTTTGAACTTGGCCACCAAAATTTGGCAGGAAATTTGGTTTTCAAAGATTTCCAACTAAGAATCAAGTCCAAATAGACCACACTTTCAAGTATTTGACTCAAGAACACAAAATTCAAAGGTTAGGAGTTGGAAAGAATTTACCGAATCGTGTGTTGGATCGTGTTGTTCTTGATGGAAAAGATCTTCTTTAACCTCCCCAAGCTTGCTCCTTTCAAGATTGAGACACTAAAACACCAAAATCAAGTGAGAATTTTCGGATCTAGGGTTTATCAAAACCCCCAAATCCACCATTAAAATGCAAGAAAATGGTGTTTAAGATGGAGAAGATGAAGTGTAGATGATGAAAATCAAACCTTTTTGTAGATGAAAGTCAAAATCTTGAAGAAATTGAAAGGTATTTGATGAAAATCGGACCTAAGGTTTTTGTTGGGAGAGAGGGGTTGTTAGGAAGTGAAAGTGGGGATAAATGAGGTCAAATCCCGATTTTTTTCTTTAAAAAGGGCCTGAACTGCTGCGCGAACACGACCCGTGTCTCCCCAGGCTAAATTGACACGCCCCTGTTGGGGGTTTATGCTGTGTTATGTACGAACACGACCCGTGTTGGGTCAAGGCCAAAAACACGACCCGTGTTGCTCTATGGAAATTTGGGACTTTTTTGGACTAACACGACCCGTGTCATTTGCAGGCCAAAATGGGACACGACCCGTGTTGCTCTCTGGAAAAATTTGGGACTTTTTTGGACTAACACGACCCGTGTCATTTGCAGGCCAAAATGGGACACGACCCGTGTTGCTCTCTGGAAGATTTTGGACTTTTTTGGACAACACGACCCGTGTCATTTGCAGGCCAAAATGGGACACGACCCGTGTTGCTCTCTGGAAGATTTTGGCACTTTTTTGCATGAACACGGCCCGTGTTTCATTAAGGCTAAGAGGGACACGACCCGTGTTGGTCCCTGGATGCTAATCCTCACTTTTTGAACTTGAAAATTCCCTCTCTTAGAAATGAAATACTTTTGCATTCCTAGGTCCGTTTGGTGATTTTAAATCATGATTGAATGCATTTGGAACATTGAAAACCAAAAACTCAAAGAAATGGAAATTGTTTTTAAGTAAAAGACAGAAATACCCCCGGGTTGTCTCCCGGTTAGCCGCCCTTGTTTCAAGTCGTTGGCTCGACTTTGTCCCCCATGCGTGATTCATTCTTGGTATGTGGGGTTCTCCAACTCTTCTACCTCTTCATTCTTCACCTCAAATCCCTCATAAAACGGCTTCAACCTGTGACCATTGACTTTGAATGTTTTACCCGTTTGCTTGCTCGTGACTTCCACTGCACCATGGTCAAACACCCTTGTGACTACGAAAGGACCGACCCATCTTGATCTTAACTTTCCTGAAATTAGCTTGAATCTCGAGTGATAAAGCAACACCTTTTGTCCTTGTATAAAGGTCTTTCGGGAAATTGCTCTGTCATGATATGCTTTTGTTTTCTCCTTATAGATCATGCTACTTTCGTATGCATCATTCCGAATCTCTTCTAGCTCTTGGATATCCAGTTTCCTTTTATGTCCCGCCTCATCTTCAGTCATGTTGAATTTCTTTACCGCCCAAAAAGCTTTATGCTCGAGCTCAACTGGGAGATGACATGCTTTACCAAACACAAGCCGATATGGGGACATACCAATTGGAGTCTTAAAAGCAGTACGGTATGCCCATAAGGCATCATCTAGCCTTAAGCTCCAGTCTTTGCGGTTTGGATTGATTGTTTTCTCCAAGATACTTTTGATTTGTCTGTTGGAAACTTCTGCTTGTCCATTGGTTTGGGGATGGTAAGCCGTTGAGACTTTGTGTGTCACTCCATATCTCTTCAAAACAGCTTCTAGCATCCGATTGCAAAAATGGGTCCCGCGGTCACTTATGAGCGCCTTTGGTGTGCCAAACCGTGAGAAAATCTGTACCTTAAGGAAATCAACCACAACTTTTGAATCATTAGTACGGGTGGCCTTAGCCTCCACCCATTTGGACACATAGTCCACTGCTAACAAAATATAAGAGCAACCAAAAGATGATGGAAATGGTCCCATAAAGTCAATGCCCCATACATCAAAAATTTCACATACTAGAATAGGGGTAAGGGGCATTTGATTTCTAGAGCTTAAGGACCCGGATTTTTGGCATCTTTCGCAATGTGCACAAAGTACATAGGAATCATGAAAAATAGAAGGCCAAAAGAATCGCTATCTAAAACTTTCCTAGCTGTCCTTTGGGGTCCAAAGTGACCACCACAAGCATAGGAATGACAAAAATTAAGGATAGATTGTACCTCTTTTTGCTCAACACACCTGCGAATTACTTGGTCCGCACAGTACTTCCAAAGGTAAGGTTCATCCCATATGTATCGTTTGGCTTCTTTTTTGATTTTGTCTCTTTGCCAACGGGATGAATCTGGGGGAAATTGACTTGTGACCAAGTAGTTGACGATATCTGCATACCATGGTGCCTCTTTGGCTGAAAATAGATTCTCATCCGGAAATGTGTCACAGATGGGTTTACCATCTTCGGGTGATACGATGCGACTTAGATGATCCGCAACCAGATTTTCCTTTCCACTCTTGTCTTTGATCTCAATATCAAACTCTTGCAAAAGCAACATCCACCGTATTAACCTCGGCTTTGAGTCTTTCTTTGTAAGCAAGTGTTTTATGGCTGCATGGTCCGAATATATGATCACTTTAGTTCCAAGGAGGTATTGTCGAAACTTCTCCAAAGCAAAGACAATAGCAAGCAACTCTTTCTCTGTTGTGGTGTAGTTGCCTTGTGCCCTATCAAGGGTCTTTGATGCATAGTAGATGACATGATGTGCTCGATCAACCTTTTGTCCCAAAACTGCCCCAACCGCGGTATTGCTAGCATCGCACATGATTTCGAATGGAAGATCCCAATTTGGCGGTTGAATAATGGGGGCGGATGTCAACAAATCTTTCAAAAGATCAAATGCCTTTTTGCATTCATCACCAAACTCAAAATCAGCCTCCTTTTGTAGAAGTTGACACATCGGTACCGTAATCTTGGAAAAATCCTTTATAAACCGCCGATAAAAACCTGCATGGCCAAGAAAAGAACGTACTTCCCGAACATTTGTCGGGTATGGTAAGCTCTTAATAATATCTGTTTTGGCCTTGTCAACTTCTAAACCTTTCTGGGACACCACATGTCCAAGTATCAAGCCCTTGTCGACCATAAAATGGCATTTTTCATAATTAAGGACTAAGTTCGTGTCAATGCACCTTTGTAAGATTTTGGTGAGATTTTGCAAACATTCATTAAAAGAGTTTCCATAAATAGTAAAATCGTCCATGAAAACCTCTATGATATTTTCAACATATTCTGAAAATATGCTCACCATACATCTTTGGAAGGTTGCGGGTGCATTGCACAAACCAAAGGGCATGCGTCTATACGCAAAGGTGCCGAAGGGACATGTGAATGTGGTTTTCTCTTGGTCTTCCGGGGCAACCGGAATTTGATGAAAACCAGAGAAACCATCAAGGCAGCAGTAATGGGATTTCCCGGCCAATCGTTCTAACATCTGATCAATGAATGGCAAAGGGAAGTGGTCTTTGCGGGTGGAAGCATTCAGCTTCCTATAATCGATACAAACTCTCCACCCGTTTTGCACACGGGTGGGTACCAATTCCCCTTCGGAGTTTTTGACAACGGTAACTCCAGCTTTTTTCGGGACTACTTGCACAGGACTCACCCACTTACTATCAGAAATAGGATAGATTACACCTGCATCCAAGAGCTTCATGATCTCCTTTTTGACCACCTCCATCATAGGTGGATTCAACCTCCTCTGTGCTTCACGGGTTGGCTTGAAGTCCTCTTCCATCAGTATTTTGTGCATGCATAATGATGGGCTCAACCCTTTTATATCCGCAATAGTCCAACCAATAGCCTCCTTGTATTTCTTCAAAATTCCAACTAACTCTTTTTCTTCTTCTCGTGCCAGCTTAGTCGAAATTATCACCGGTAGTGTCTCTTCCTCTCCAAGATAGACATACTTGAGATGGTCGGGAAGAGCCTTCAACTCAAGAGTCGGCGGCTGTACTATGGATGGGAGAAGTTTCGGATTAGAACTTTTTAGCTTCATGCGGGGTGGTTCAACTCTCATTGGTTGTGCTTTCTCCAAGGAATCAATTACTTCGATCAATTCGTCTTCCAATGTGTACTTGTCAGCCAACTCTTTAATCCCTATCTCATCAAAGTGTTTGCTCAAGATGGTGGTTAGCACATCTTGGCTTGACATCTCAAAGCAATCATTAGTACATGAATCAATAACATCTATGAAGTTTAAAGAATGAATATCGCTAGGATAACGCATAGCTTCAAAGATATTAAAGTTAATTACCTCACCATCGAATTCCATTGACAAAGTACCATTGGCTACATCTATTTTTGTTTTTGCGGTACTCATAAAGGGTCTCCCCAAAAGGATGGAGCTCGATTGTGGGGTGTTTTCATCACCCATGTCTAAA